CTACTACTCTCCCATGACAGATATCTCTACTTGTTACGGAGCAATAACAATGTTTGTATTACAATAATGTATAGGAGCCACACAGAGTTCACTCCAGCTGCAGAATTCCAACTTTGTGAGATTTAGTGACGTTCGAAGTTAATCCGAAAGATCAGTATCACGCTCGCACTAATTGATCACCATCAGATATATTGAGCCAAATTAAATTCTGATCCTTTCTCTTTTTTAGCCCTCTGCACTCAGTCTGGGTCACGTACATGTAGTACTGTATATACTCAACCTATGGGGGGGAAAAGTATGATCTTTAAAACGTTAATAATGGCTCTCATGCAGTGATACATTTTATAGTTCAATGGCATGTTTTACAAACAACATCTGTTTTGTTTTGTTGATTTCTGGCTATGTTACATGATGGAGTTTGACATTTCCTTTCAGCTGGGAATTTGTTTTCAGTGAGGGGAATGGAGTGAAACAGATGTGATTGGGGAATTGCGCTGGAGAGTGGTGGATCACACACACACACACACACACACACACAGGTATGTACACACAGACAAACACACACACACACACAAGGGCACAGGAGCACAGAGGTTGGTTACTTGATATTTCCAGTAATTGATTTTGACAAATTTCACATTCATTAAGATATATAGTTTCTACTGGATGCAACTGTTTCTCTGTCTCTGGTTTAATTTTCCAATATTTTTGGTTAATCTTCAAAGCCCTACCTCATTTCCCGTTAACACAAAGGGATTTTTTTTTCTCAACACTGACTATGGGGCAAACACAAACAAGCGGTGATGAGAAAGACAACCTACCTGACAGGCCAACTTGCTGCCCCAGCACTGTGGCATACAGGTGGGTGATATTGCGAGAGTACCCTCCAAACGGGCGCTGGGGGTCCAGCGTGAGGGTGATGGGGACTGAGATGTTGATGGGACCAGAGTCCTCTAGCAGGAGGGGAACCTGGGTACTGGAACGAGCTTGGCCGCTGGTCACGACCATGCTCTCTGGCGTGGTCGACTCATTCAGACCGTGCTTTATCGTTTCATTCTCCGACACGCAAAAGTCCAGCTCATTGAAGCGCAGCAGAAAGGTGTTCCAGTCCTGAGAGAAAGAGAGAGAGAGGGAGTGCGTCTTAATGGTTGGACATTTCACCAAATATCTATTTCCATGTATCCATGGGTCTATAAAGTACCTACCTACCTGGATTCCCTATTTGTTATGCTAAAATTAGCTTCTTTTAGCCTTACAGACTGAGCTGGGTGAGACTAGAAAAGGCTGAATAGGTCACAGCATAAATGCACCATGGGTCAAAATGTTGGGCAAATGCATCCTTTTGGCATAAAGCAGGCCACAAAGGTCATGAACTGACATTTAGCGTCAGCAGTGACCACATTTTACTGGTATTTGAGAGCTACTTTATGGAGCAGACCACATTTTACTCCCTCTCTTTTAAAGAACAATGCGGGCGTGACTCACCTCTGTCAACTCCGGAGACTTGATCTCCTTGATCTTGAAGAAATAACCGATGGTCAGGAAGGCGATGGCCACTGCACTGACGCTGATCATAAAAATGACCAGCGGTGGACGGTTGTTGATGTAGCTTCTCAGGTTCTCTATAGGATTTAACAGGTACACCTGCATATGGACAAACACACAAAGTGCCAACATTTGGGCAATGGTATCATTTATTAAAGGGGTTTTTAACAACAGTGGTAAATAATAAGCCTTGACACAGACACTTTAAATTGTTCATTATCACTATTGGTGTCACAGATCTATAAAACTGGCCTGAAAATAAAAAAGAGCCAGAAAAAAAAAAGATTTAAGGTTTAAATGATTGCATAAATTAAAAGGTAATTTTTTTAAAAGGTTAAGGATGAACTGAGGAAGGATTAAATGTAATGTAATGTCAACAATAGGAATACTCTAGCTTTAATCCTGGTACAGATGAATCACACCTCTAAAATGTTTAACATAGAACAGCACAGACTTTACACCTGAGGACTTAATTTATAAACAATATATATATATATATATATATTATATATTTGTCAAAACATGTCTCAGACAAAACACATTTTTAATGAGGAGGTAGCCTGTTAAAGAACATACTATCTGTGATATCTCTCCTGTGCAGCACCTTTTAGGTCCATTCAGATTTATGGAATTTGTGTGTTTCATAATGCAACGTCTTCTAATGATAACACTTATGACCAACCTGTTTAGCAAGATGCTCGACTTTGTCAGCAAAACTTCCTCGTGAAACCATCATTTATCCAATAAAACCAGCTGCTTTAAAAGCCCCAAATAGCAATGATACTGAATGGGTGTTTTACATTAAGGTCACACGTCTCCAGCACTGCTATTCGGAAAATATCTTCAAGAAACAAACTGTTTCTGATTATTTATTATGCATGCTTAATCTAATAATGTATAAAAGACTATACACCAAATATAGAGCAGTTATAAGGGAGTGCTATATAGGAAAAGACAGGATTGTCAATCTCTAGTAAATGTACCAGCAAACCAAAGCACTTTTCCACATCCCTCTGCCTTTGATAGTTTAAACATATGTATTAAAAGTTTTTACTATAGCAGAGAAGTCAGATCACTGTCACTGTGTGTGTTTAACAACCTGTCATGTCTCACATCACGACGACTGGAGCTACATTGCATGACCTTTTTTTTTTTTGTTTTTTTTTTTTTAGGCTCCTACTCCTCCAGTCAACAATCCAGCACAAGCACAAACACTGGTTTCCATGGAAAACTGTAAATACCGTGCATGTTATCAAAGTGCAGGGACGGGTATTGGGTATTATACAAGGTAACTTTAAACTGCAAAGGGTTTTTTTTTTTTGGTGGGGGGGGGGGTCTCTCTCCATCCAGGTGACCGCAGACAGGTTGACAAGAGCTGTCAACCTTTGTAGCAACCGTAGGCTAAAAGCTACCTGGCCCTGTGACCGACTGGTTCCTGGATGTGACCACACCTGACAAACATCACCCACCACCAACCACAACAACAACAACAACAACAACCGCACACAACAGCTGGCTCAAACGCAAGCGAACAACAACATCAGCGGTTTCTCACCATTTTCTCTGTTTGTGCATGCGACGGACGGGAGCTGGGAGGGTTTTCTGTTGCGGGCCACAACAAGGCAGCGGGTTTTAGCTGCGAGGCTAGGCCGTACTTGGCTGAGCTTGCTCCGCTCTTCCCGAAAGCTAGTCCCTCCTGAAAATACCGCTGAAGAGCAAAAGTCGGTGTTCGGCGGAGACAGCCAGGCTTTCAGCGTAGGAAACACCACGTATGCTCCTTCCCATTATTTGCGTTGTTGTTCGTCGCTGCTCTACTGAGAAATATCTCTCGCGTACAGACTTAGAGGGGGGGGGGGAGGGGGGAGGGTGGGGGGGAGAGGGAAACGTCAATAATGTATCTGGGTCCTCCCCGCCGACATCTCCTCCGCGTCGCAGCGCCGCTTTCTCCTTATTTCCGTACGACGTGCGCTCGAAATCTGGCGTCCGTGCAATGGATGACGGCCACGCGTACGCAATTTACGTAGACGACGAGCGAGCGTTCGGCGTGTTTACGTTTTTCTCGGGGGTTGTTGCTGCGTTAAGGTACCGTCGGAAATATGTAACGCGTTGGTGGAGTTTGCGCTACTGACGGGGAGTTAGTTGATTAGTTGCCTTTTTTTTATTTTTTTTTTATTTGTGTGTGATGTTTTTTTTTTATTTTTTATATTTCCTTTTTATATTTCCTAAATTTTGTTTTGTTATTTACTGTTGATTTTCTCAAAGCTCATTCTGTCTCTCTCTCTCTCTCTGCATGAATGAGACGGAAGCATCAATTATTAACGGAGGTATACTGTCAACAATATAACAGTCATTATTATAATTGTTTGTTAATATTATTAATATTATTAATTGAGTTACTTAAGTAGGTACAGGATGCATTGCATGTTTTAGGCGGGGGCAGTTTTTACCCACAGCCCATCACTCTGATGAGGTTAATTGCAGACATACAATGTCAGGAACAATCCCTGTACAATAACCCTAGGACTCTGTACCTGTCAACTATTTACTATTTATTTATTTTATTTTTTAAAACATAAATACCATGATTAAAACACATCTACCAATGCTTGTATATATATATTTTTGTGTGTATATATTATTAGATTATGTCTATTTTGTTGAGCTTGTTGTCCTGTTTATTTATCTGTGTATGTGCATTGTCAAAGTCCTCGTATGTGATGCTGATTAAAGTCCATTTGTTTTACTATTTCCGGGGGTCATGGAAGGCAGCATTACTCTTATAAACCTGAAGTAACTTCTACATTGCTGATCTTTTAATACCTATTAATATTTGGCAAATAAAGTTATAATTGGGACTAGAGTGTGTTACTTTTCGTTGTTTCTTTTAGTGCGGACAAAACATCATTATTTTTATTATTATTGTTACACCACTGAGAGCTCAAAAAGCTGATTTTTTTTTTCTTTTAAATTAATTTATTTTACAAAACCAGTCTCATCCAGATCTTTCAATTAAACTCATTATTAGTGGGTAAACTATTACGACTGCTCCAACCTCTCAGCAGTATGCACGTGTATCTGACTTATTAATTAATGAAGTGTGTGTTTAAACCCAGCAGGCAGTGATTAAAGCTCCGGCTCAGCAGGTGGCGGTAGCTCTTCCTCCTTCTTTAAATCCCCCGTCCAGCATTGTGAAGCCACCGCTGTCCATGCTGCGTCAAGTTAATCCAAATTAACAGACTCACCGGAAATGTGGAATTCATCCTTCAAAATAAAGCAGAGAAAAAAAAAATCGCTTTTTTTTGAAAATTAAAATAAGCCCCCTTTCAGATGCTGTTCGTCTACGAGGTGTGTCAACAGTATGCGCTTATTGCATAACATTGTGCATTTAATTAATACTCTAAATGCAATGATATATCCATATCGCACGAATGCAACTTTTATTTTACAGAGCCAAGCCGGAAGTGTATTGTAGCGTCATAGTGTAAGTGCAGTGCGCTTGACAGTAGTGAGCTTTTGGCTAACAACAATGAGGAGAGGTAGCAATAGAAACCGTGTTAAAGTGTGCTCCTAAGCTTCTACAAGGTAGGGTGAATGTGTGCCGGTATATGAGCGACGTGTGAAGGTATTGTTTTGGTAACTGGTGTGCAGTGTGGGTTGCTAAAGAGCTGGGTAAGCTGTCAGTGTTTGAGCAGGAGGAGCATAGCTGAAGCTAATCAAGTAGCCCAACAATGCCTTCGTGTCAGTAGAGTGCTTTTTTTTTTTTTTTTTTTTTTACGTGTCTCATAACGTTTACACTTAACGTTAATGTTTGCAATCCTATTTAACGTTACAGGCAATGTTACGGATCAAATTGAAGCTATTTTTTTTAAAAGAGTGTTGAGGATGCTTTGTTGTTTTATAGATATACTTTATACCTAGGTTAAGTTCCTAAAACTGTGGTGCATGTAATGCAATGCGCTTTGGGTAGCTGGCATAGGCATACTGGTTAAATGGTTGGATTAAAGTGAGCAGAAGTTGCAATTGACTCTTTTGTTATGCAGAATTCAACCGATGAATAAAACCTCTGTGTCACAATGTGCAGCACTGTCTCTTTATGATATTGTTTGGAACTATTGGTAATGAGGAAACAAGTGTAAATGTAATTTTATCTACTTTAAATATTGGATTTAAACGTTATAATTGAAATATTGTCACCTACAGCATAGCAGTCATGATGACTTGCACCCTATGGGAGTCTTTAAATTATGTTGTAGTCAGTTTTTTGGGGCTTACATCAGCTCTTTAATTTATATTGGTAAGCAGTGATCCAGCTATTCTGGAGCTACATATAGCTTTACAGTAAAATGTGTCCTTTATATACAACAAGAAATTTAACTATTATGTCCCTTTGCTTTCTTTAGGTTGAAACTTTCCCTCCCTATCACAACTTGATGCAGAGACAGCTTATTTTGCTGGCTCACAAGACTGTCTGCGAAGGCCTACAACCTCTTGGTACACTTGCCAGGTGTCAGCAACTTTGCAAAGTGTGTGGAGCACTTTCTGTCTCGACACGCTTTAAACATCTACCTCCAGCTCTTGATGCTTTAAGCTTTTCCCTTCAAACCCATCGTTTCTCCTCGGTATTCCATAAACACAGGCTCCTCCTAAACGTCCCTCCCCGTCTTTCTTTACGTCAGTGTTTCTCCGACGAGCCAGATATGTCAGAACAGAGGTTCATCGTGGAGTACGCCAAACGCGGCACTGCGGGGTGTAAAAAATGCAAGGACAAAATCCCGAAGGAGGTAGTGCGCATCGGGAAGATTGTGCCAAACCCGTTCAGCGAGTCTGCAGGGGAGATGAAGGAGTGGTACCACGTGAAGTGTATATTCGAGAAGCTGGAAAGGGCCAGGGCCACCACGAAGAAGATTGAGGACATCACAGATCTGGAGGGCTGGGAGGAGCTGGAGGATGAAGACAAGGAGATCATTAATAAACATGTTTCAGGTACAACAGGCTCATACATCCATTCAAAACTCATTCAGTGTTTAAGCCATTTTTTTAAACTTTTATGCTGAAAACTTGAATTGGGAAGGTGTGGTCTCTCATGTCAAAGGGTTCTGTATTTGTCCTAAAGCCATTTATTCGTCTTGTTTTGTAGACCTGATGGCAAAAGTCAGTGCAACTCCGAAGAAGAAGGTTCAGGCCAAGTTGAACACCACCGCCCAGCTATTGGCTCCTCCCGCCGACCCATCCGTCAACGCGCCACGCAAGTTCTCAGGCTTCACTGGTAACATATCACTTCTCATGTCGAGTGGTTTCTTATTTGCTCTAAAGCCGTTCACAAAAGAGGAAATACCACAACAAAAGTAATGGAAGCAAGAATACAAAAGTGGATGGTTTTCTGATTCAGAGATAGCCAAAAGGAACGTCTGTGGGTCGGAAAGCGTCGGAAAAATATCTTCCACTTCCCTTTTTCCCACGATTTTTGGAAAACTACATGTCAAATTCCGTACAGGGAGGATGGTCAAAGCATATTTACCGTTGCCTATATTGGAGTTTAGTAGAAAAAGTCGTATCCATCACACAGTCTGGACTGTAGCAATAAACAGGTGGAAGTCGTACTATATTTGTCATTCCAGGGACAATGTAAGGCATCAGTAATAAACTCACATTTTAAAAAAGAAAAGAAAAACAGGAGTATAAATAATGAAAAACACAGATTTGTATGCAGCCTGAGAGGCATAACTAGGACAAGTCCCCAGCGTCAGATGAATATGCATATGTGTATTTTGGAAGCACTTCCAAACAGTAATGTAACTGTCATTTTGTGGCTGTATTTTTGAAAATTGTTACCATTCAGCCAAAGTACAGAGGAAGAACTTTCTCAGAAACCAAGCCAACCCCTTTAAAAGTTGTCAGTAAATTCAGAAACTAACAGATAATCATTTAAAACTGTTAAAATCAGGATAATGTGACCTTGACTTTTTGTTCCACTGTGAATTCAAGCAGAAGCGCTTGTTTTGTCAAATCGGTCTCATGACTTTTCCCCTTCACTGTCCTGTCAGCTACAAAGGCCGGCAGCTCTAGCTCCAGCAGCCCGGGACCTTCCTCTTCCCCCGCCAAAGGCAGTGCTCTGTCCGCCCAGCTTTGTGACCTCCGGCACAAGGACTGCCTCTTGCGAGAGTTTCGCAAGCTCTGTGCCATGGTGGCAGAAAACGCCAGCTACAATGTCAAGACACAGATTATTGAAAAGTTCCTCAAGAAGGGCTCTGGTGGAGGTAGGTGTGTTTTTCTGTTTATATCGTGTTTTTGGGCTTAAGCTGATTTCATCACAATGGCATGTGACAGAATCCTAGGCCAGGATTTCTAGTTGTTCTCTTCCATCCTAGATAAGTTCCACGGAGATCTTTACCTCACAGTGAAGCTGCTTCTGCCAGGCGTCGTAAAAAGCGTCTACAACCTCAATGACAAGCAGATCGTAAAACTCTTCAGCCGCATATTCGGGTGCAACCAGGACGACATGGTGCGCGATCTGGAGCAGGTCTGTGATCCACATGAGCTCCTATGCTTCACGAATGGTCATAAATATACCACATATGCTGAATGTATTTTATAACTAAGAATCTTTTTACCAGAGGTTATTTAAAGCGCTTTCTGTGAGATTCTTAAATAGAAAATAAATTTCTCTGGGGGAATTAAAACTGGGAGAATTATAGTTTCCTGACAATGTGTGCGAAAGTGATGACTGAGGAACTAATTGTCAAAAATTGCACATACAGTGAGTGTCTCCTCCTTTCTTTTTTTCAGGGCGATGTGTCTGAGACAGTGAGGATGTTCTTCGAGGAGAGTAAATCATTTCCCGCGGCTGCCAAGAGCCTGCTGACCATTCAGGAAGTGGACGCATGCCTGACCCGCCTCGCCCAGCTGACCAAGGAGGATGAACAGCAGGCTGAGCTGGAGGTTATTGCCAAAAAGTAAGAAAGTACATCATCATGACTCGGGCTGGGTAGTAAAACAGCACAGATAAGGTAATTAAGTGAAATGATAAAGTACTGCAGACAGACCTGCTTTATTAAAAACAGTTTAAGGCCCCTCTTCGGCCCGTCCAACAGCAACAGAATATAGCCTGGTCCTAGGAAGATGAGAAAGAGCCAATTTCTTACATTCTTACATTCTCACATTCTCACAAAGTACAATTTCATATCTCTATGATATTAACTCTGTTGTACTGTTAATACTTACAGTAATGTACTAATTAAACAGTGCTAAAACTAGTTATACTAGTTATACAAGTAACACAAGTAGCCGTACCTCTCCACCCTAAGCCTTTATGTTGGTGCTAGGCCTGTCAGTGATACAACACCAATGTGTGTTAAAGCCAGGGAGACAGATTTCGTGATTTCTTTTCGCAGTATTTAGAAATGTTGCAATTGTTTGTTCCCATTTGTTTTGCTTGCGCTGCTCTTTTATTGTTGGTATTTGCAATTTTCCCTTCTTTTAGATTGTCTGCCTCAGGCGTGTCTTTCACACGCACATGCACGCACACACACACACACACACACACACACACACACACACACTAGATATTCCCATTTTACATTCTACCCTCCACAGCAACAGATGCCAGAGTGGGGCTATGTTTATTTCTCATAAATTGCATCTTGCTAGACAGACAGAAGCTTTATTTTGTCTGCTTGTGTCATATGACATTGATCAAGCAAAGCAAGCCACATGAATTAAAATTGTGCTGTTTTTACTTCTTCAAAATGGCTGAAAAACATCAGGTTTCTGAATGACATTAATATTAGTTATTTTTAAACCTTTCTGGTTGTAACCACTTAGATTCCTGCTTCATAAAATGCTGTAATACTCAAACATCTGTTTCACAATTTCACCCGTGTGATGACCTGCGTTCTCTTTCCATCAAAGATGCACCAGTAATGACCTGAAATGCATCATTCGACTTATTAAACACGACCTGAAGATGAACGCTGGAGCAAAACATGTGTAAGTGTGTTTGCCTTCTGCCAAGAAGTTAATAATACACTGTTATTTCAACACTTTGAAGAAAGGTTATATTCTCATACCAATCTTGAACTCCTCTTTCGATTATTGCCCGGTATGCAGCTTGGATGCCGTGGATCCAAATGCTTACGATGCCTTCAAGGCCTCGCGTAATCTGGGTGATGTGATTGAACGAGTGTTGAAGAATCAGCAGGACGCGTCTAATGGTTCAGGACCCAGGAAGCTCCTCACTGTGGAGGCCTCGCTCATGACGCCCGTTCAGCCCATGTTGGTGAGTAACCTCCATTAAAATGTGAATAATGTATACACACACTGTTTTCCACTTTTCCCCTCTAATTTATCTGTTTAGTCTTGACGTGATTCAATGCAGGGCCGACCTGTTTGAACCGTAGCGATTGAAGGAAGTCACATTACTAAACAGGGTGAGGGGAATTGGCCGTAAATAAGGAAGAGGAGGTTTTTAACATTCAAAAATGTCTAGATAAAGTCACTGATGCCTTTTTTAAATGAGTTTTAGAGAAAAGCACACAGCTAAAAACATTCTGTTTGGATGACTACTAATTCTGTAATTACTTGACTACAAATTCCCGACGTAATGACATCTGACTCTTCTGACCTCATGAACTAATTGAGTCACACATGTACATACAGAATGATTCACATGGACATTATGTGTCCTCCAGGTACTGGCCTTCCTTAATAGCTAATTCATTATACATTATGTATCCAGCAGTAGGCCAATACTATAATAATCAATTTTTGCTTCAGGGCAAGGTATGTGGGTTGTCTGTGAAAATAAATGGAGTAAATTAGAAATAGATTTCCAATAAAAGACAGTAATTGTTGCTTTAATACCTTTTTGGTTTTCAAAAGAAAAGAGGTTAGAAAGAAGATATGACCTCCTAAAGTAATTTAATAGGATGTCTTTGTCCCAATACCAAAGGCACCGTCTGACCTCCTTTTAGAAATGTTAGCTCAAAGGCTTCAGGTAGATTTTTACACTGTTGTATGCAAGAAAAAAAGATTTAGATAAAACCTTTTTTATCCACTCAGTTCAGAATGTCAGCGAATCCTTTTTCAGTAGATTAAGATGGCCATAAGTCTATTATAAACAGAGGAAGTGCACCTCCACACATACATTCAGTAAGAGAGGAGGGGCTGTCTGTCTGTCTGTCTAACCGTAACGCTGTGTCACTGCCTGTGACCGGCCTGCCAGAGGATTGAATGAGAGCTGTAGATAATATGACGTCCAGACTGTTTCCAGCTGATGGCTCGTCACTAGAAAACCAAACAGGCTGCAGCTGGGCCTTCCAGATAACTCTTCTGTAAACGCATGACTGTCCTGAATCCCTCTTTATAAATGCAATTCAGCATGATTTAAAATGTGTTTTTCCGAAGAAGCTACAGACCATTAAATTTCACATTACACAGCAGACTTTTAATTGCACAGTTTAAAAGTAAATTGAAATTAACCACAGTAATATCACATTTCCCTTTACAAATGAATAACACGGTCCAGTTCCCAACTTTCCACACAGCCTCACAACTTCAGGAGTTTTAGTTTTGACTTCCTTGGTTTTTTTTTTAGCATTGGTTTGCAGATGATGAAAAGCTACATTGCTGAGCTTAAATAAATAATCTCTACAAAATACAGTTGGTTCACTCAGAGCAGCAGGTGACTGTGGGTGGGCGGCTCGAATCCCAGATTGTTCATACTGAAGATACAAGGTCTCGATTGAAGATCAATAGGATTGATACCTAAAAGGAATCCGTTTCTTTCTTGTATGTTTTACCATCTGTATATCATCAATGAGTTTAAGTATCTGTGCAAACAAGACTGTCCGTCACTTCTCCACTGCTGCTGTTGTTGTGTTGTGTGCAGTGCACTTGGATTCCCTGACTAGTAATCCAACACTGACACAGACACACATGGCTGAACAAAAGATAAGTATGGCTTGGACCTATTTCACAGCTGTAACCTGCGGTATGTAGGAAGGCTGGTAATGTTGAGAACTGAAGGTGCTTTTGTTAAGTTATTCATTGTTCTCCACGGATTAATGTTTGCACTTTGTTTATTGAAAAGAAAAACTTTTACAATCATAAAAATATATTATGCTATTTGCCTTTACATTTTGCCTGTGTATTATCATGCATGGTAAGTATTAACAGCGGGGGGGGGAAATTGGTTTCAGTCATTTCTGGAGAACATTCGAAGTGCTACATAAACTCATTTACATCGAAGTACATCAGCCACTATCAAAATAAAACGTATGAATATTGGCATTTCTGGCCCTGTATTACTTTGTATCAGATCGAATCTAAATTTTGCACTAATGTGCAGTGACGTTGCCAGCACAGTCTCATCGATTAGTGGAACGGCGCAGTACTATCAGAATACACTGCCGCAATACTGACATGGATAAATGAGGTTTTAGGTGAACATTGACACAAATACATGACCACCAGAGGATTGAGCTCATGATGCAGTTTTGCTCAGTACAGTGCAGGCTTTGTCTCAACTGTAAACAGCTTCTCTCTCTTGCTGTCATTATTACTGTAAAACCATTTCTTTTGGTTGTGGTAACACTGCACTCGGCACGGCAACATGTCTGCAACAAAGTCCGCCATCAAGTTGTAAACAAACCAGTAGTTTTAAACCAGATTACAGTATGTAAACCAGCGGATGTGTCAGGATTCAGGTGCATGTTCACAACAGATAATTGGGCAAACTTAAGCGTTGGTTTCCAGCCTGTCTGCTTGTGTTTCTTAACACATCAGTTTCAGTTCTGTCACAGTTATGTTCCCGTATTTCAGTTAACTTAGTGAGTACAGTGTTCTTATTACTGATAGGAATAATGGCCAAAAGTACAAAAATAAAATGCATATTCCATTGGCAGCAAAGTCTAAAATAACAGACTAACTTTTGCCACTGGAGCCACGAGGGAAAACTTTTAATGAAATGTGATTACTTGAGATGAGAATTTGGTTCCTTGCTGAAGGCTCGGTGAATCATTGTTTTCCTTTGTGATTTCAGGCAGAGGCGTGTAAATCCGTCGAGTACGCCATGAAGAAATGCCCCAACGGGATGTACTCTGAGATCAAGTATGATGGAGAACGTGTGCAGGTCCACAAGAACGGAGACAGCTTCAGCTACTTCAGCCGCAGCCTGAAGCCAGTGCTGCCACACAAAGTCAGTCTTCTCATACACACACATGCAGTTCAAATGTACACACAGAGCGTGAAACTGTATACCGATTAGTATGACAATGCATGTCAGAATAGCATCCGCTCCGGTTTGCTCCTGTAAGGATTAACAATTTAAAGGTATTTTCGCAGTGTAAAATTTAGACATTTCCCACAGGGTTTTTCCATCATTTGCTTTCTCAGCATGAGGCCGGGAGCTTTAAACATACAGGTATAAATAGCTCCGCATCATGTTCAGAAGCTCTTTCAAACCACTAGAGGTTGCTGCTGTGTGCACAATATATACCTCACTGCAACTTTGAACCTCAGTAAACCTCAAGAAAGAACACTAGGCTCTTAGACGCGAGGTAAAAAATAATTGTCTTACTTTTTATAACAATTCTGCAGGCTGTGCAGTGATAAAAGTCTCTTTTCTAAGCTCCCACTTCAGCTTCACACATTATTATTGATGATACCTGGCGGAACCCCCCTCTGTTACTCAGCTTCTGAGCAGCTATTTAAGAACCAGCGTTACTATCTTTCCCTCCTGGGACCTGCTCTTGCTGGTTTGTTTTAGTATGCCCCCTTTCATCCTGGCTGGCTTTAGACATGTTGCCCTGCCCATGCTACCCATCAGCCAAATGACTGGTAATGGACCCTCAGCCACTGTAATTAGGCAATTTATGTTAATGATAGGTTAACATTCTGTGGGGGTGGGAATGGAGTCTAATTACAATAGTCCAAGTCCCCTAATGTTTTTTTATTGTGATGAATGATAACTCTGTAGGACTGCTCCGATCATCCAGAGTGTGATGAAGGTGAATAGTGGCTACAAGCCCAAACGAGGAAGACCAAATGTGTTGTGTTTTAGTGTCAGACCCATTAAAAACCTGGGGGTAGTGTTAGTCTCTTAAGTCTTGCTGTAATAGTTGTTTCAATGACTGCTTGTTTCTACTCAGTTCCTACGGTAAGCCCTGTGTGTCCATGTCGATGTTTCAGGTGGCCCATTTCAAGGACTACATCCCTCAGGCTTTTCCCGGAGGCCACAGTATGATATTGGATGCTGAAGTCCTCCTAATTGACACAAATACCAGTAAACCCCTGCCCTTTGGGACCTTGGGTGTACACAAGGTGAGAACACCACAGCCAATTTGTGGCTTTCTTTCGACATGGGCTTGTCACACAGTTTCTTTTTTTTTCTTTCTGACCAGTCACTGCTGACACACTTTTCCTCTCCCTTCAGAAAGCCGCCTTTCAGGATGCCAAAGTGTGCCTTTTTGTTTTCGACTGTATCTACTTCAATGGCGTGAGTCTCATGGAGAGGTAATGTGTTTTTCATTCCAGTCTATCTTCGAAATGTCTTTGCTTTTTAACAGCGTTAACAAGAAGCTCCAAATCTCAACAAACACTTCTGTTCTGAAGCGTTTGTTCAGTTATTGTCTTTGTCGTTTGCCCTTTCTGTAGGTTTGATTATGGTTTTATGTAGACATCCAATTTCTATTTAAATTTTAGTTTATTTAAAGCTTTCCTCGTGGGTTTTCTTTACTCTTAGTACTAGTTCTAGTATGTCTAATCGAATGTTTAAAGATCAATGAAAGAAATGGAGGACAAGTCTTTGGTGTATTTGTGTAAAATATATCCACAGTTAAGCAACAGCAGTTATTTTCCCAAAACTCCAATATTTTATCATCATGTCGATAAACACAAAATACATTAAATACATTTTTAGCATCTTGATTAGTCACAGGTTTAGCTTAACTATGCACATTGTGAATAAAACAGGCTGCCTTACATTTACCCACTGCCATGATATTGTGCAGGCCTCTGTGTGAGCGCAGGAAGTTCCTGCATGACAACATGGTTGAGGTCCCCAACAGGATCCTTTTCTCAGAGATGAAGCACGTCACTGTAAGTAAAACTCTGACTTTGGCGTTCTGCTGTATGCGTACTTCTGTTCACAGCTCACAATATCATACTGTATTCCTGTTTGTGTGTCAGAGGGGAGGAGATCTGGCTGATATGATAACTCGTGTCATCAGAGAGGGACTTGAAGGCCTGGTGCTGAAAGACCTAAAGGTTGGTAGCCTTTCGTCTCCACGTGGAAATTAAACTGACGGGGAAAATGTATCTAATGTGGAAAAACACTATGAGCAAGTAGCTGAAACATAAGGATGGTCAAGCTCTGTGTTATCTGTATTTCTCAGGGCACCTATGAACCCGGGAAGCGCCACTGGCTGAAGGTGAAGAAGGACTATTTGAACGAAGGGGCGATGGCAGACACCGCTGACCTGGTGGTACTGGGAGCTTTCTATGGAAAAGGCTCGAACGGTCTGTGAAGCCCTAACCATTCACTGCAATATATTCCCTTTCTTGATGCTTTCATTGGTTCAGGCAGTTTTAGTGCACTTCTGTAAGACGAGGAGTGTGACTCTGGGGACACCAAATTAGCGACCTGAGATTCACTAATACTCTGCTATGAGGAATATTTTGCACGTAGCGCTCAGGTTTCAGCGATACTGACTATATGTGGTTTGGTTATGGATTTGGTACAAAAGCATTTGGAAGGTCTGAACCTTTTTTATAGATCAGTGTGTTAAAAAAATCTCGTAAAGATTCTGCATGTACTCACACAGGATGGTGAAAATAACAAGAATACATCTGTATTACTTTATGAATACAAAAGGCCAGAACACAGAATCCAGCATTGTAGCATTTCATGTGAAATATATGCAGATAGAACACAGTGCGTGAGGAGAGGATGTCATTTGGTAAAGCATACAAGCAGGCAAGGTGTGGAAGTCGTTGAGGAGGATGGGTAATGAGCATATAACACAATGGAAGCATAACAAATGCAAAAACAAAGGTACAAATCAAAAAAGCATGGCTAATGAAGACAAGCTAATAGAGCAGAAACAACAAATCAGATGAAGGAGTTGTCATAACATACTGTGGGACAAAAGTGGGAAGTAGGAAAGAACTGCTGTAAAAAGGCCCTTACAAGTGGATTTAAGGAGGCTAGTTTTGGGAGGTTTAGTGAAATTATACAGTGTATGTGTTTATATCGAAAGCCTGTGGAGGCTTTATTCAAGAGTCTCCACAGGCAGCACTTTCCTAAATTCCCCTCCTAATGCCATGTGTGTTCTTCTACCCACCAGGGGGCATCATGTCCAGTTTTCTAATGGGCTGCTATGACCCAGACTCCAAGAAATGGTGCACAGTCACCAAGTGCTCCGGAGGCTACGATGACGCCACCTTGGCCAGGCTCCAGAAAGAGCTGGATGTGATCAAAATCAGCAAGGTCAGAGAGGATCCACTTTAGAGGCCTGCCTGGAATATTGAGCTGATGTAATAAAATCGGAAATGAATCTTTGTGTGTGTCTTTGTGCAGGAGCCAAGCAAAATCCCAGGCTGGTTGAAAATCATCAAGAACTATTATCCAGATTTCCTCATTCGTGATCCTGAGGTGAGACTTCACCATCCAGCACGTGTGTTTCCTAATGGGCTTGTTGATGTAGTTGCGTATCTGCATGCTGCAGACCTTTTTAAATGAAGTGATGAGTTAAAAGCATGTCTTGCAAACATCTTCTGCAGGAATTTCTCCAAATAAATGACTCTCCGACGTATTGAGATAATGACCACCCACACTGCAGGGCTGCTTTCAGCCTGCCTATTTGCTGAAAATAGTCTTACATAAAAACACCTTTGATTGAAATGACCCTCTCTGGCTTTCAAGTCTGAAAATAAAACTCAGTAATGAAATCCACAAACTTCTTTCTTTAAACCGTAATATTCATGGCCCTATTTGAACAGAGGCCAAGATTGCTTTTCTCATTTTATGGAGAAGCAGCGGTATATTTACCTTGTCATTTATGTTTCACCTGCCGCTGCTGTTGTTCCCTCTGCTGCAGAGAGCACCTGTCTGGGAGATCACAGGCGCGGAGTTCTCCAAATCAGAAATGCACACCGCTGACGGCATCTCTATCCGCTTTCCCCGCATGACACGCATCCGCGATGACAAGGACTGGAAGACCGCCACCAACTTGCACCAGCTTAAAGTACGATATTGTCATTTTAAAGTACATGTGCCGCTAGTGCATTGATGTTAATAATGTGTAATTCTTACTGGGTGCAGGAGAAAATACAGCTTTTTCATGATTAGATACTGCTCATTCAAGGACTATTATCCTTTAATGCAGTTAACTGAAGAAACAATGGGAAATAGTTCATCAGTTACTAACGATTAGGAGGAGAGCAAACACAAAAGATGCCTTAGATCAGTCCCTCATTTGGTACTGAAGTCTATGTCCTGAGATGTTTTGTTGTTAATAACTTAATTGCATTTTGCGTTGGACTATATGATGGGAGGTATTGTGATCCTAGTGATGATGGGAGTGAAATAATTAAATCTGTTGTTGAACAAAGCACCCATGGGACTGCAGCAGCTAAATCGTACCATTACAGCGTGGGTAGCATACGCAAATTTGCTGACTCATTTGCTGACAAAAGTCGTGGCTCTAGACTACTGGAACTACAGACTGTACTGTAGTTCTTCTATGCCTCCACAGACAGTCTGATCTAGAGGCAAAAGTCCAGGGAGCTGGGGGTGCAGGCAACATGGAGGGAAGGTAAACACTGTAATGATATAAAGCTGCTTGAAAATCAGCAAATTCTCCCTTAAGCATGATTTAAAATGACAACGACCTAATTTGCAGTCAGTAATCCAGCAAACATCGACAGATGAGTTGAAATGTTGGCCGAGGCAGTTAACATGCCTGCGCTAAATTATTTGAAATGCAACACGGGTCTTCAATCTCTCGTGACACAAAACATTCCATCTCTTGGCTGAAGACCATGTTCTCATTTCGCCACTCTGCTCAGGAGCTGTACCGCATATCAAAGGAGAACTGTGACTTTAAAGTGACAGCTGGACCGTCGACATCCAGCGACGACAAGGGCTCCTCGGGAGGGGACAGCGGAGGAAACTCCCCGTCGGCCTCGTCCCGTGGAAGTGCTCCACCCAAGAAGACCAGTAAGTACACACACCACCAACATTAAAGGGGAAGGCAGGCTACTATGTGACACCAGTTTCACTATATCATATCTTTTTCATTGTATAAAATGACAAGTTTGAATTTTTTTATTTAAGTATTTAAAGCTACAAGCTTATCTGTGATAATAAGGCAGGATGTTTACTGTTAGTGTGTTCAAACTAGAGCTTTTACTAACAGTTATTATTCATTATCAGTTCATTTTCTTTATTTATCGTTTTACCTGTACAGTGTCACAATAATAAGGAATTTCCATCACAACTTCTAATTGCTTTATTTGAAGCAGATTTCTGCCTTATGGTAAAACTTGACTCTGGAGTGTTTCTGCAGTCCATGTTTATTCACCTGCAAACACAGACGATATACCCACAGTGCAGACATTACCTAGCAATGTGCTGTACCATGTGCACTGGCAGTTCCACCTCTGACTGATCTCGGAGCTTACCTGGAACTCCAATTACTTTCCTTTGTTCCCCGTTTCTGTATTTTTATGAGTTGCTTGAGTTTTGCAAATGCATCCATTGGCTACACCAGCAGCAATGTCAAAATGTTCCTATTTAAAAGGAAGTCTTTTTAAAGCCAATGTCGGGCAAAGATCAAACTTCAGTGGGAGACAAGATCACAGAAATGTGAGGTATTTATTTTGCAGTGGAATGTGGTTCACATTGCAGCTTAAACTTGACCAGTAAAACAGAAAGAGATGTGTTGGCGGGCAGTCACATCATTTCACAGGCTAAATGAGTGACCCTCAGTGAGTGCTGCAAATGCTATTTTATTTGATATATTATCAATAACATGCGCTCCCTTCACAGACAGCAAAACCCCGCCCAAACCAAAGGTGGTGAAATCCCAGCCTCGCACTCCAGGCTCAGAAGCACCCAGTGCCAAGAAGGTATTGTATTCACAGCACACAGTATGTTCAGTGGCATCACATTAAGGTAATCCTGTCAGTGGACTTGAACGGACCGTTCTGTTCCCCACCAGATCAAGACTGAAAGTGTTCCCCACCAGATCAAGACTGAAAGTGTTCCCCACCCGATCAAGAGTAAAAGTGTACACAGCAATGGACAAAGCAAAGCAAAGGCAACCTCTCAGCTGCTGGAGCCAAGGAACGATAAGGTTGGTCAACAGCGAGGGCACTCAATCTGTCTGTAGGACACAGTGTGGTGGTGGTCCAGCTCCCACATATTCAAACCCAGATTGGCTAATTAAACTGTACTTATAGAAAATCATTTACAAACCAAGAGTTATAAGAACAACTACGGTGTCTTACAACTAGAAGCTTATTTTTGCAGCTCTGGCCATCAGTTCTATTATAACATTATACTCAGAGTAATTACGGAGATCTGGGGATACGGTGACATCTAAAAACGGGTGCAAGAAACGGGACTGATAGTAAACACGATGACAGAAACAAGATAATGGACCATCTTTGGAGGTAAAAATGAATGTGAGCAGACCGGAAATGATTCTAATAATTCGTCAGGTACAGCTGGTCCGAGTTGAACCAGGATGTTGATCTATAAACGGAATAATTTCTGTTCTAACGTAGTTTTTCCTCATGTGGAGGTTTGTTCACAACCTGCCTGTTCTTTTCAAAGCTTGTGTATGCCTCCTGTCATATTTCACAATCTCAGCACTTGACCCTTCCTTAGTTCTGCTCCAATAACAGTAGAGCGAGCCTTGGTCAGAACTTTCTCCCGTCCTGTACTCAGATATGTTATGTGCTAGGCGCTCTCTGTTTTGACCAAATTTTGAAGGTGGTAACAAGATAAGTGACAGTCAACTAATAGCAAAACATTAGATAACTTGAGATGTGATGATGTCTTTCATCTTTTAACCATCTTGATCATTTAGTTGTTTTCTCCACAGATGATCCTAGCACAGAGCATATTGAAGTACAGGAAAGGAGAAAGTTGGCCACAGTTTGCTCAACTGTTATTGGACCACAGAGCAAAAAGGGGCGGGAATATTGCTTTTGCAAGTACAATAGGAACCAATAAGCTGAACTGCTTCAAAAATAAAAGTTTAATCAACTGTAGTGTTTAAATTTTTTTCAATAACTGAAAATAATGTAAGGTTCAATCATTACAATTTGGATTACAAAAATAGTCAATGTTTTAATCAGTGTCAGAATTTAATTGTGATTTCCTTTTCTAAGTTTGCAATAGTTGAATGCCATGTGGCTTGAACAGGACTTGGGGAAAATCAACCCTGTGCTGACCATTTGTGTTGTTCCTGTAGACGCTGCTGGACATCTTCAGTGGGGTGAAGCTTTTCCTGCCCGTCTCAGTGCAGGACTTTGACAAACTGAGGCGGTACTTTGTGGCGTACGACGGGGACCTCGTGCCGGACTACGACGCAGCTTCGGCCACACACACGCTGGCTGAACCTGACGAGGACAGCCAGGCCCAGAGAGTGTCACCCAGCTGGATCTGGGAATGTATCCGCAAGAGGCGCGTTGTACCTCCCTGTTAACAATAAAGAGAAGAACACACACATTTTATACACTGCGTTAACCTGTCCATGAACTGCTGCACACCTGTGTAACTTAATCGGTGTTAAACTTATCAACAGGGTGGATTTTTTTTGGGGGGTGTTAACTGTCACCAGACACTGTCCGTGGGTTCAATAACACACTGCTCTCAGAGGTTGTTTTTATTTACTCTTTTCAAGTTGTATTTGTTTCGTACACTCGCAAACCAGCAGAGCTACACACTATACGTTTAATTTTGGGGATTGTGAATACTGGGGCCAGATGTAGTCCATATACTGATGGCATTTTTGATAAAACGATGTCTGACTTCATCCGTGTGTATTGTAGATGTAGAGTTTTTATAAGAAATGTCGAAGCAGCTACAAATGATCACTGTACATCATGGAAGTAATTTTGTAACATAAATCACAGTACAGACGAGAAAATGAATATGCAGCAGAATTAAGATTCAGGGTTTTATCAGCAACATTTTTACAGCCCGAGTGAAACATTTTGCGAGGTATTAAACTCCAGCTCATGAACTGAGAGGAACCAAATATGTTTGTCATTAGGAATAAACAAAACGCTGATAAAGATATTAAAAATGTCTCAGTAACATTCTCATGCTCTTTATTTTCTACATTGTGTTTGAAGTGTTGCACCAACATGCACTGCAGCTACTTGCAGAAAACATGGAGATATTGCAAATAAGATGGAAACTACGCGCAACTACTGCCTTCCCAAACTCCTGACAGGCTGCTGCAGAATTTACCAAGATGATATGGGGAGAATTAGTAGTTTTAGGAAGGCTTTCTTCCTCCTCCTCGACTAAATACATTTCACTTTGAGTCTAAATCACAAGACTTTTTGTACAATCCGATGAGATGCTGAAAGGCTTTTACTGCAGTCTCCTGCATCTGAATGGCTTTCACGGATAATTCAGATTTCCTTTTTTTTTTTTTTATCCCCGGGATACTTTAGGCTAGAAGGTGGTTTAATTAAATGTTTAAAAGTACTGAAGCTCTGAGGGGGCAAGATCCACACTATGCTTCCCATGAAAGACACAAAACAGGAAGGACTTCTGTACTTGTCCCTCCTCTCAGCAGGTAAAAACACAGAATGGCTGGAAATCCTAAGTTTGACATAATCAAAGAATCTCTGTCTACAATATGCTGGCACTCACAAAGGCTGCCCGATGAAATGTTAATGCTGCAGCCGAGCATTGAAAGCATCTCGAATGAGAATTCTGCCAGTGTCATGATCTAAATGGGTCAATTTTGAAGCCATTATCCATTATTCTAATGAAGGTAACAAACTGAGGAGCTAATGCTAGTACTGATTGATTGGAATAAAGTTTAGCAATCATTTAAATGTGTGCGTAGTGCTTTGTAGTATCAGAGGGGGAAAGGGGGAAATCAGAAACTTCAAACACATACGTTTTGGTCCAGATGCGTTCATGTACCTTTGATCAGACATTTAGGCAGAATATTGCAGTTTGCTCTCATCAGGAATCAGTCTCATCCAGTTTTCTCTTTCCTGAGGATCCTTCTTTAGAGCGACTCCACCACTGCAAGTCGAACTCTTCTTTGATGTGACATGGCTAAGAAGTAGAGCAGATGACAGTGTTGATTTACTTATTAAAAAAACGAAATGAAAGGAACTCGGCTGCAATATGAAACATTGATTTAAGGCTATGTTCATTCTGAATGCGCCTTGTCAAAGCACGTCTTTGTTTTAAACTGACGGACCTCTTTTATAACTCCAAAACAAGAAATGCATAATTAACGCCTCCGCGGACAGTGATTTATGAGAGGAGGAAGAAGTAAAGACTGAAGAACAGTTTTAGCAATAATAGTAATTTTGTCCTGTTGTCATTAATACCCACTAACAGTGCATTTGTTGTACAGAAAGCTTCCACTTTGCTTTTCCTTTGAGAAATCTTAGGCTCTCATCATTTAAAAAAACAACAACAATATAATCAGAGACATACTGCTGCTTTCACTTTTTAAATTTACTGAAATGTTTGGACAGCACAGAAATTGCCGTTGTGTAAATAGTTATATTAAAAGAACTCAGTGCACATTGTCTAAAGATGGAAGTGGGATGGGAAATTACACAATGACCCATAATCACATAATCAGCTGTGTAATAATAAAAGTGTAGACAACAACAAATGTGTGTGGGGAAGTTTTAGCTCCTTAATGACAAATCATGTATCTTTCCCACAGTTCAAGGCATCATTCCTTTCTGTGTTCTTACTTGAGTTACGTAATCCATCACAGTGAAGTATGCATCAATTTTTGTCAATGCAATTATGTGGTAATACAGCGCACTGCATTACCTTATGATACTGTAAGCAACAAAAATACTGCAGCAGTGATGTGACGGATTACATTACTCAAGCAAGTTTCAAGAGACTAGATATTTATACTATATGGAAATTGGAAATTGTTGACAGTTTTGGCCTCTGAAGGCAGCGGGTTTACACTTTTCTGGACTTCAATACCAACAATGCACAGAAAACTGCAGTACAAAAAGGTAAAAACTGCTTATAGTAGCTTTTATAGTAAAAAAGGAAATGTTGATGACGGTAGTAAGGCATTGAATAAAAGATCAGGATAGACTTCATGAACAGTAATTACTCTTGCACTCTGTAATAGGGAGTCACAGCTCCAAGTAGCAGCTAGAGACGACTTCCAGAAGACAAAAGCCAAAAGAAATCCTACCAACGTGGCCAACTCACTCATGGGGTTTGCATTTTGTAGATGGACAAGTGTCCGTAGATGAGATCTGAATTAGACAGCTAAATGAGCAGAATGAGACCGCTGTCTGCCACAGTCTGTCTTTATGAATTAGAGCGATAAGACCGGTGAACTTTCCTTATTAAAATCTAACTGGAAGCTACTCTTAAATGGAAATAAAGCGCTTCTTTATCAAACCGAACCTCTTAAAAGAGCAAACACAACTTCAAAGTCTCCATTTTAACAAGACGTTTTGACATTCTCTTCTCAGCGAAACCCCTTTGACAGAATCAATACTGAGTCAGATGATGTGCAAGTCGATGCTGCTCGCGGTACCTGTCTGGAAGACTTGATCAGTGTTGCAGAGCGCAGACTGGAGTGGCTGACGGCCGTGGCCTCCTCTACGCGCTCCAGCAGGATCCGGGTTCTGGGGATGTGACTCCACGACACGCCGAGGCCCGGCTGCAACTCCCCGCTGCCACTTCTCGTAACATGGTTTGTAACCTGCCGGTCCACACAGCGTCGCGTTAAGTCTTTAGTTGATGGGGTTTTTTTTTCTGTCGGGGGGGGGGGATTATCACACCCTTTCTTTATGCTGTTTTATGGTTTAGAATAGCTTGATGGAGCTTGTACAAGCCTTAAAAGAGGGGGAGAAAATGGAAGTGGGACAGCCAGATTGTTCCACTTTTAATCAAATTGGACCATCAAAGAGCCCATCAAATTATCTTTATCTCACTTGGAATAACTTGATGATTTGAGGTGAAAGCTAATTATCCTCGGTGCATGCTCTTTAATGTGATTAGCTCATATTTGACATAATTGTATCTTCCAGTCGTACACCTCAACTTGGACTCAAATGGATCTTTCTTTTACACCTTAAATTGTCAGAAATGAATAACCTTTAGTTTTTATCTTGGATTTTGTTTTCATAGCCAAACACTGGTGGGAAGTTTTCATTCGAGGTCTCAAAGCAATAACAAGAGGAAGTGTGAAAGGGTTTGTGGAGAGTTGGAAATGCATCTTGCATTTAGAGTAGCACACGTCAAGGGCCGTGTCATCCTTACCAAAGCAGCAACATTGAAGTCCTTCGCCATCGTCTTAAGAACTCCTGCCACTTGTATCATCAAGGACATGCCTGGAGGCACAGGAAGTTGGAGAGGGGTTTGTTCGTGAACAGAATACTCTCTTTGTCTTTCAATACTTTGTAAGCAACTCAAGAGTAATAACTCGGGCTCCAGATATAATTGTTGTGATATTTACGGCCTTTTAATATTGTGCTGACAATCATGGTCCCTGCCAGATGAATCTGAACAACTTTGGTGGTTGCTTAAAGTCCCCTAAAAACCTATACTTTCAACCGGCTTTTTACCTGCAGTTTGTTATTTCACAGGAGATTTCCTTCTGCCTGCGGGCTTGTTTGTTTATGTTTGCCAGTGCAGATAAACGTTTTTGAGTGTTAAACTCTCAATTCATTTCTTCTCCAGACGTTAACTTTTTGCTTATTTAGCCAAAATGACAGAGACATTTGAAACCAAGTTTTCAGAGGCTTCAGCTTTTCATCTTGTGCCATCAGCAGGTCAGTATATCCAGCACTCTGGTTTATGACCAAATACCTGCAGAACTAATGACAGTCCCAACAGCCCCAACCGTGCTATGTATTTAAAACAATATCTGCAAGCTATCATGCTGAACTAGGATGGTAAACATTACCTTGTAATTGCTAAACATCAAGCGTACGTCGTCATTATGAGCGTATTAGCATGCTGGTGTTGGGCATTTTGCACAGCACCATAGAGCTGCTGGCGTGTTCAGCTGCCCCACTGTTTACAGTATAAACTGTCACTAATCTTTATTGAGTGCTGTTTTTTGCAGTGACAACAGCTAACAGTAGATAATGCAATACGTGCACTGTGCAAAGGTAATCAAACTGTGGTTTTGCAATGCCACTGCCAATTAAACTTAACAAAAACGAGGAAGCAAAATATTTTTCCAAATATTAAGTAGTTATTTTTTGATTCCTGAAGTGTTTCTGAAGGGGTTTCACCCTGATCCGCAAACCGTTTTATTTTCTTTCCAGCTGTGAGCAGCTCTTCCATTTCCTTTATGTGTTGCATCGTGGGAGCCTAGTGTGCATCAACAGCGCACTCAAAAATCAAGAGTGGATAACAGGCGTTTTGACTCCTCTCCTGCGGTTCGGGTAGGAAATGTTATTAAAGCCCAATCACACAGTAATGTATGGAGTGCTGAGGTCAAACATTCCCATTTGTTTTCTGACATTAATAATTCATTTATAAGGCAACTACTTCATCTCAACATTCACTAACTACAAAATGATAAACTGAACTGAGCTAATTCTCCTGGTCTTTAACCTCCAGCTTCGAGAGGTTTATAGTGCTTTTTTTCCACCGTTATCTTCATCATTATGTTTTTTAGCCACTTTGTGTTATTTTATTTTTTTGGTGCGTTTTGTATTTGCCCAGACCTGCTCAGGTGTGGAGGAAAAAACTGCCTTATAACAAACTTCTCCAAGCTCGAGCTGAGCTGGGTCGTGTATTCATGAATAAATGAGTATACACAGACAGTGTTTGTTAAAAGTGTCTATTACTAATACTAATTAATTTATTAATTCGTTTTTTGTTTTAATTACACTGTTGGAGTTTTTTTTAGCTGTTGTGAAGTCTTTTCAGAGGCGCTCAGGTTTATGTTAGATGCCCTCTTTGAACCCTGTTGCACTGAGTGACTGGTTAATTAGATCACAGTTTGGGAGCTTTCTATTAACCAATTGTTAGCAATAAAGTTCACGTGGATTAAGAACTTTAATTAGTTTGACTGTCAAGAGGCCATACTCCTGTTGAAGCAGCTCCGAGGTTAATGAAAACAACTCTATTTATAACTCGTATCAGAAATGTGAGCTTTTACTCTAAATCTGATAGTTTGGGGTTTACTGCGGCTCTATAAACACTATTTTACGTTATTTTCGCACTTTCTTATGATTGGAAATAACTTTGATGTCATACGTGTGGGGGGGCCCTGCTGTGATATTTATTTCCAGACAGACATTTGGAGTTCACGGGCTCGGGTGTAAACACTGCCTCAGGTATGATGGACTATGATGGACCAGCAGAAAGAGATATCACCGTCATTTTGTTTGCCTCCCAGTAGAGGAGAGATAACAGCTGACACAGAGTCCAAGATCACCGCCTTGACGGAGCCACCGCCAACAGACGCCTAATAAGAAATGTGACAAAATTAGACGGCTGAAAATTTCATCTTTCTTTCTCAAAAAGGTTCTCTGGGTACAGCCGGATTGTTGGTGTATTTTAAGCAAAATAAACAAGAAAAAAAAAAAAAAAAAAAAGAGTGCAAACAAACCTGCTGAAGCCTGCCACTGCGAAGACCGTACAGACAGTCGAGTAAAGAGAAAACGTCAAACAAACGGAAGATATGGATCCTCTGAAGAGCTTCCATCTGTAAAATGACAGTTTTGTTTCCTATTGTTTTATATTAAACATCATGTAATATTTGTTTACCACTCAATTCCTGTCAACTCACCTGCTCTTCTGTATTATTTGTTTCAGCTTGCAGCATTTGAAGCAAGCGTCTGGCAGTCAGCCCTCCAGTCGTATCGATGAATATTACACTCTGTTTCAGGTGATAAGCAATGTGCACTGCAACACCAAAACACACCTAGAAGACATGACAAGCGTGTGGGGAATAGTCAAAGATAGCATAGACAATTTGTGTTAGCTAAACAGTAACTCTGAGAAGTATTATTTCAGCCATGGCCCAATTTCTTATTCTATAAGGAGAAGAGGGTATTCTAAAAAGAGGGATTTCATGAGAGTGAAATTATCAGTGATGGAGGGGGAAGGTAGGAAATGTTCACCTGAGATTTGCCACTTCCTGGGCCTCCTGACAGCTCTGTTATCTCTCCAGTATACAAGCCTGAATCCAGCACTTTATCTAAGCTGCAAGAAACGAGGTACAATTCATTACTCACAACTGCCATCCCATGTAATAAACTATTAAGTCCAAGTGTATCCGTAGAGCCAACAAAAACTGCAGTTGGGTAAACATAATAAAACAGAGCATGCATTAGGTTGCACACTATTCTTAAGATTATGTTGGCTAATTCCTAATTTCAGTTTCTGTTTCATTACTTCTTATCAAGCTCAGTCATTGGCTGCATCAGTATGTACGTAGCTGTGCTGAGACGGATCTATAATGCCAATTTAAATACGTTTCCAGCAAAGAATGAAGTGAAGTATAACGATTGTTAAATGTACAGTATATACTTGTAATCAAGTGAACAACATAAAGTAAAAAGGACAATTCTACTGCACAACCACTACGATGCCTCTGTCTGCAGTTTTAATGGGCTGCTTGTGCTGCAGTAAACTGTACCAGACACCTCTAAAGATTTTTTTGTGGTGGAAGTTTTGGTAGGTTTTGTCAGCAAACTAGTATAATGATAATGGGCAAGCTATCATTGACAATCAAATCAAATTAAATCCAATGTGGCCCCATGGAGGAATCTGTCGGCTCCAGCTGTTCTCAGCTCAGCTGTGGATCTTAACAGCCAGTTCTTTCATTTCTCAGTGTTTTACCATGGGACTGGGAGAGGTCCTTTTATCTCACACACCGACATTATACACCTAATGTAACACTCTGTGTGGTACCTTTAACACAATAATGGATAAGGAAAAAAGGACTCGTAGGCCACCAACAATTCTACCCTTTGTCATTTATTAGCAGTTGCAAGACTGAGCTACATTTATCAAAAACAACAGTTCTATCCGACATATATTTATCCCTTTTTAATGCACTTCATCATGTTAAGTGTGAAGTTGTCATACTTGGAGGCAGCAGATTATCCGTATTGAACTGTGGCCAAATAATCAGGATATGGCTTGGCTTGTATCGGTTGACTCTAGCTTGGAGCTGATATCACACGACTTCCAAAGGTTTTCAAGTCAAGATCAATTTGTCAAACTACTTTCCCCAAGGTCAAGAATGTACTTTTGATGCTCAAATATAAATCTTCTGTATATGTTCTCTTTAACACCGCTCTGCTCAATTAATTCCCATTTTACCATCCACTTTTTATTACTTTATCTATTTCTGCTAGTATTACATACTGAGGACAGTTAAAAGGAACTGCTCTGCCAGCTGAACTACACCTGCAAGTCTTCCTTTAGAGGAATAGCCTCAAACAGAACATTCTGGGATGGATACTTTAACCATCTTTACCTGCAGGGATATACTGAAAGAAGTAAGGTCTGTAGGGTCTTAAGATTTTCAACCTTGTTAGTATTGCCATGGGATCATCCTTGCTGCCTAGGTTAATCTTCCCTGAGCTCCACCTTCATTCATCCCAGGTCGTTTATACGTGACCTCTTCCACCACAGTGTATCCGCTCTTTTTATGCGTTCACATTATAAGAAACTTCAGCAATAAATCACCAGAGGTCTGTTTAATTCCTACTGAGCTGAGTGAACAGAGGCTGGACTGGTGTGTGGATGAGGTTAAAAGTAGGCCATGGTTACAATCAGTCGTCAACTGCCAATAACATTCCTATGCTACCTTAACCTTACCCTACCAATCTGATCTCATTTGGTGAACAACAAGCCAGTGCAAAATGGGTGTCAGGTCTGTTTAAAGCCTCCCCCGTCAACAAGTTTAGCTTGAAATACACCAGGAATAAAGGTTTCAAGATCAATGCTACGAGAGCTGCTGGATTCATCACTGGGGTCGATGCTAAATTTGACCCATGATTCTCCTTTTCAGCTGCTGTATGATTTTTTGGACCGACTTGTGATTGGGTTTGGTTGGGAGGTTTTATACTTTTAAAATAGAGTTGAGCAGTGACAGGAGTAATTTCAGATGTCCAGTGTTCCAGAGGTAAAAGTCCCATAATTTTGTATAGACATTGTTACGAGACTGGCAGTTGGAACCCTTTAAAGGCTCGGATGGGCCTGCCACTTTGCCAGTTTAGTACAAAAGATGACCACAGAGTGTACAATTCTGCTTTGTGGGTCATTAATGGCGAGCATAATAAAGACCTGATACAGCAGTATTCTACCATTCACTTTCAGATTTCAATGTCAATTTTGGTTGAGTTCAACTATGGTGCACCATTTTTTTCTCCCAAGTGTAAAAAAAAAAAAACTGAAGCATTATGACATTTCCACAAATCTGATCTCCTCCTCTGACTGGCTTCTTCTCTATAGCAAAAGGAGCTGGTGCTCATGGGTAAAGTGGTATTTAGCTCCTCACACTTGAGTTTTGTGCTGATGTTGTTCATTGTATTGTTTTGTTTCCATTGGTCTGGCTATCAAACTTTTATACTTTTTGAGTGCTGCCCCAAATATGTCCACAGCACAGAGTACCAAAACCTGTCACTGGCAACAGAATACATAGTGACACTCTTACTCCTGTTCTTCTCGTTATACTAGATTTGGTTTTTTTACCGAAATGCAGGTATTTTTATTGGTACAAGCTCTAGAAGGATATCTTCCATTCTTGCACTGTTTGTAGCTGTAATGCTTTAACCATCTGTTCTCTCAGCAAATGCTTTCGTTTGTCTGTATTCAGGCCAGTGATCTGTGCAGTTTGTGGAATCTCATCTTTTGCCTGCATGTGTGATGATGGATGTGTCGGCGATGCAGTTAAATCTACATCGCCAAGGTCCTCCAGCTTGAAGGTTAAACATCGCTGGAAGCCTGTGCTTGGTTGATAGAGGTTCTCATCACCCACGGCATGATTGCGAAGGGGAGAATTGGTGGGGATGGACACACTTGCATTATTCTTGCCTTCTCAGAGAGTAGTGCAGAGAGGGCTGCACTGTTGATGAAACATCAGGTTGTGTTCTTATAAGGGCTCAGGAAGATGAAAGTGATGTCCTCGAAAAGCCACAGATTCAGAATTTCCCATGGGTAGCACTCATCAGAGAGATCAGAGTACTGTGCGGTCCTTGGAATTACAGATCTTCATCTGAGTGTATGATTGGAATGAAAGCACAAGAGTGGAAGACTCAGATTTTGTTGAGCTCTTTTAAACAAAGGTTTTTATGTCCTGTGGACAAATATTTCCTTCCTGTGTACTTACCACCAGGATTATAATATGGACAAAAACTGGGTATCTTACTTAAGGGAGCTGTAATACTTGTTCCTGTTCTAGGTTCATTATAAGGCTGTGGGCTGTTGAGAGCCACTAACACTGAACTCCAAGGCTGCATTCCTCATGAGAAGGCAGAGACGGAAGACAATCTTTGCCAATTTAAATGAGGTTTTAAAAGTGTCTTGATGTGAGGTTGAATTTTATCACGCCCAAACAAAAGCCCATACATGGCATTATATCATTGTGTCATTCTACTGTCAAGTGTTGACAGAAATGTGATGTGGGCTACATGATACACAAGCTGATGACGCTACAAACCATTATCAACCCTCATCACGGTTGTTTAAAAAATCTGATTTAGTTTGTTTGTTCTCTTCTATCTGTTTGTCTTTATTGTTTGATACTCTCAGTGGATAGAATAAACGAGTGCCATTTATTATACATTATTAATGAAGGGGCATGAAGTGCACTAGAGTTGCATTAATGTATGAGTATTTCTTGTGCTGTCAACGGCACATTTTTCTTGATGAGATTTAAGGAGACAGCTATACTGAGCTATAATCAGCTAAGAACAGAACTCTCACAGTCCACGAAAGGTCCCCCTACCCCCGTTACTGTACATTTTAATAGGTATAGGTATTATGAAATGATGGTCTGAACAAGATAAAGTACTAAGCATCAAGGTTCAATAATGCCTTTGGTCATTTTATTATGATATAGTAGGATGGTTTTCTATGACCTCTTTTTGATTTCTTGATTGAATTCCTGACGTTTCTATTAGTTGATTGAAATAAGACAAAAAAAAAAGAAAATAGCCTTTTTCATTCTTTTCATCCCTCTCAAGACTCTTACTCGCTGTGCAAAATATCAAACAGCTGGAAGAAGAAAGGGAAACGTTAAATTATGACAAAATGTGTCCAGCAGCAGACGTGATTGAAAACTAGAAGTCCTAACAGTGGAGGCTTCAACGCTTCAGGTAGGAAAAGTCTTCACGGGGCACGATGAGAAAAATGTAAATACTCAAATATCTGAATGATTTCATTCAAGTTGTGTTCTCTCAGCTAAAGCTGTAAAATAATTTTACAAAACAAAACCACAGTTATCTCCTGTTATGATGAATATTGTTTTCTAGATCCAGTTCACTGATTCTGAGGAATAGACAAGCAAGATCCTCTTTTCTATCCATGCAGCTGATCAGCTGAGAAAACTAGTTTCACACTCCGCATTAGCAGGAAATATTATTCTATCAAAATGTGACAGTCCCTCAGAGCATCTACTCTATGAATCCTTTACATATCATATACTCTGTTGCCTAGCTCAAACTAATGCAGTCTAATAAAAACCACACTGCAATTAGAGCTGCAGCAAATAAGTGGATTAAATGATTAGTTGTCAAGTACTAAATTCAACTATTTTGATGATCATTTCATTGCTTTTAAGAAAAACCTTTCAAAATCTCTAATTTCAGCTTCACCACTGTGAACATTTGCTGGTTTCTTTAGTCCTCTATGACAGAAAACTGAATACCTCTGGGTTGTGGACAAAGCAAGACATTAGAGGATGTCTTTGGGAAACAGCATCAGGTTTCACATACAAGGAATTTGCCTTGGTAATTAGGTGCATAACAATTAAGTACAGAGTCAATAAAAGGAGCCAATATATACAAATATAAAAAGAGAGAGAATATGCACAATATGGCCGGATACTTGAGTGAAGAGCTGTACAGAAATGTGCATAAAATGGACCAGGGACCACGTTAGCACTGTGACACATAATGATACCTGCAATGTGCAAGATAAAGACCAAGGAAGGGGCATTAATTGAATGCATATATTCAGAGTGGGAGGTGGGTTAAAGAGTCAATATCATTCATCAGTTCATCTTTTCACCAGTAGAGCGCAGTCAAGACACACAAATGCCACTGCCTTTACTCACATGGCTGAGTCAGTTTCATATCACTAATCCACAGCACTAACTAATTTATGAAAACCACTTAAAAAGAGCCACAGAGAGGAAAAAAAACACCTGTCGTCATTAATTATGCTGAAACAGTGAGTTTAACTGTAGAAATGGTACAATCTTATAAATGATGCCATGCTGGCCCATTTCACAGATTTGTCCAGGGCAGTCTGTGTCCTGGCTAAAGAATATTTCCCCTTTTAAAGTGGAATATTTATCTCCTACGCTTTGTGCTTCGACTGCATACAGATGACTGAATCTTTTGATGCCAGCACACGTCTCTGTCCGAACCGTTCATGGGATGTTGTGTCTCAGTTTAGCAGGAAGTTAATTTCAGTACTGCTCTAATACAATGCCATGCTGGTGCTAGTGGGAATTTTTGGTTTCTTTCAAGTCATTAAATTTAGATTTCCTGATGTACCGCAAAAATGTTTTAAAAGACTTGCCAGTTGTATTTGTTTCGTTTTTTTTTTAGTGGAAAGTAGTTATTGCAGCTGATCTAACAGAAGCCACTTTAGGCTGCGTTCTCGAGCCAAATGGAACAACAAACAAAGAATCCTCTGTAGCTAAAATGAAGCACAGAGGTAATTTCTAAAACGCTCTATTGCTCGGCTGTATTTTTAACTACAGCTGCCATACTCCAAATGCATATTCTACCGGCATACGTCAATGCAAACTCAATTTTAACAACACTGAAAAGATTTTAGTTTGATAAAAATGGATCAATGCAGAGGAATCTGGTTACAAAACATAATGTACAATACGATTGATTTTGCATGTCAGCCTGGGATTGTAGTCAGGCACTCAGTACTGGTCTGAAGAGCAAAACAATGCATAAATACATAATGAAATTGCCAAAAAGGATCAACAATGGCAGTTTAAGTACAAATAATGTGGCGTGGCATGTAAAACCTTTTGTTAGCGTCAACCATCACTTCCTTCGTCTCTCGAAACACTCAAAATACAGCTACTACCACCTAACCAATCAACAACTTTATTCTGAGATTATATGAGGTGGCACTGATGAAGAAGCCGCTATACACTTAAACAAGCATCACCGCTAAAAATCACTGCATCTAAAGTGAACACTGGGGAAATATGCTTTAACTCTCAACTGTCTTTAGGAATACATATTTGATACCATTTGATACTGGAGGCGAACCTTCCTTTAAGCTCGTGTGGCACTGAGCCCACCGTTAAATCCCCCTGTCCCCTAAAAGACAAAGCAGCCGGCTCTGCTGTGTGTGCAGAACTGTCGTTACCTGGGATTTCCAGTGGAGAGGATGGCTGTTGAGCTCAATAGTTCTTCATACAGATCAGCACCTGACACGGGGAATGCTGTGTGCTGGGCCAGCAGCACTCGACGGATGGCAAACAGTGCCTGAAACACATCAAATTACAGCATATGAGGCTCACGCCACTGGTGCACGGTTTCGGCCACAACACATGTACTCATCTACCTCGGCCAGAGTTGCCCGATTGGGTAGTTTTCAGCCCAATTGAGCCAACATGATTACAATACAATGGAACAAGGTAATATGTTGGCTTGTTTGTATGGGAGTAGGAGGATTTTTGAAATAATGTAATCATGTCCACACTGTCTGCTCCTCCGGTGCCCTCTCACATCACCGTTTAGTTTTGGATATACAACCACAGCGGTTCGGGATAGTTCTGGGATTAACAATTATTTTCTGTATTGATTTGTCGGATTATCTTTTGTTTACTCAATTACGAGTCTGGAGTCGGGAAAAAATGCCAATCATATCCTGCTACCTCGTTCTTTTTCTCTGTAGTTTTCCCTTTCTCTCTCATCCTTCAGCCTTTACACGCAGCTGCATTAAGAACAACGGTTGTCCACAGCGTTTCACATACGTTTAACACATACGCCGACAGCTCTGCGCAGAGGAATCAGAACATCTCATTATAGGATTGTAATGTAAACGATCTTTGTTATGTCATACTTCATGACTGTGTTGTTGTCTAAAAACCAGATATTCTCGATTATTATATATACACACAATATAAAAACAAACAAATGCAGCAAATCCTCACATTTTACAACCTGGAACAAGCAATTATTGAACATGTTTGCCTGATAACTGTGTGCTTTGATTGATTCTGGTATTCACTTTGATACACACTCAAAATGTGTGAGTCTGAAGGGGGGGGGGGGAGTTAGCAGATTCTGTGTTGAGATGCCAAAGTCTTCTCTATTATGGGAATACGTCAATTTGAAATCTCCCATCTATGCATATTGCTTACTGGACATTTTAACTTCCAAGTGAGTACACCCACACCGCTCTACACAAGCAACTTCATTGCAAAATTAAAATAAGCACTGCCACTGTCCAGTTGAGACAAATCTTCTTTTTATTTACATTTCACACCAATGAAATATATGTCAAGACACTCGACAAGGAGTTATTATTCAGTTAATTATAACGGAGTCAATATAATGTTGCAGATCGATCATTATCACTAAAGTCAACACTGATCTCGACGGGGATTGAACCACATCCCACATCCCAGGTCAACAAAACCACAGGGTCACAGAGAAACTGTCGCTGAAGGTGAGAGACGAGATATTTCCACGTCTGGACTGACCTCTTCATATAATGCTGGATATTTGCCTCTGTGACCACCTGAAGCCTCAAGAAATGAATCTAGTTATCACAACATTTGGCTGGAAAGTCTCGTTGCCTCAACAAGGCTTCGTCTCCTTGAACTGAACTCCTGGAAATGAATAAAAAGTTCCACGCTGAATCACATTTTTTTCATTTATTAAGGAGAGAAGTACAAAATGTCTCAGCCCGGCGTAAGCCCTAGATCCCACACAGTGATGGCACAGAAAAGTCATTACTTCACTGGATTTCCACTGGACCAATCAATCAGCTTGCATACTGATGCTGATACAAGAGTCTTTGAAGCAGAAGTTTCCCACATGAATGTGCAACTTAAAGATAAAATATACATTTTCCAAGGTCTAATGAGGTACCTGTGTTAATTGTTCTGCAATATAAAATATACATTCAAAAAAAATGTAAAAAAATCACCCTCTTTTCTCCTCCTGTGGAATGGTAAAATATTTTTGATGATTCATCCTGCACTCGAGGGCGTATAAATGTATATACGATATGGCATCCAGTTAATCCATCCCATCCTATAAAACTGCAGTATGTGGGTCACAGTATCCATCATGGGTCGGTTCTTCAATGCCAAATTTTGACCTTTGACACTAGATTTAACGAAGTGTGGGTGGTCTTGCACTCCAAACCACTGTGCTTATTTATACCCAGAATGCAACGAGGCTGCCAGGAACCGCCACCGCCTCCCACACTAGGCCGCTTGTGGGCCAGATGAACCGGGCTGTAAATCCGAGAGTCCAGGGTCCAGTCCCAATACAACCTGATCAGTCCCATTCACTCGGAAATACGTCACATTGCAAAAGCTAAATTTACTCCACTCACCATTTCTCTAGGTAGCTAGACAAAACCCTCTGACAGAAATAATGTTTTGAAAGTACAGGGACATTTTAAATCTCTCTCTTTATTAAAAATCCCTAAGAAGCACACTGAATGTGTGTGGAGCCACATCATGACCGCCTGAGGCAAACGAACAAAACGCTCCTCATCTCAACAATAACAGGAAAAAAATCAACACAGCATGGCTGACCAATCAGGTCCTGACTAGAGCTGCAATGATTGCTCGATTAGTTGTCAACTATTAAATTAACTGACAACTATTTTGATTATCAATTAATCATTTTGAGACTTATTTTTTTCAGAGAAAAATGTCCAAATTCAGATTTTTTTCCTCTATGACAGAAAACCGAGTATGTGGACAAAACAACACATTTGAGGACGTCACCTTAGGCTTTTATGGGCCAAACAATTCATTGTTTTATCAAGAAAATGATCTACAGATGAAATGATAATGAAACTAATCGATAGTTGCAGACCTCGTCAAAACTACAGCTCTTTCATGCCATCACCCAATGAGATCTTTGGATTTCTGCTTTTAAGAAATAAGTACGTGATTGTCTAGGAACTGAATTAATTTGCTTGAGTGCAGTTTTAAGCTTATTTGATGTCACTGCGCTACAGAGGGGACAACATTCCCCTGGATTTTACAACCTGAGGTCAGTCCACTGCATGAAAACAGGCGGGGGATGCAATGATTTATATGAAATCAGACCATAGGGGAAAGCCCAGCGTTCTGTAGAAAGAGCTTGTGCTGCTGTTTAGCAGGCTTACAGTCTGATTAGTCTCCTCTTCTGGGCAGAGAGGATTTCCTGCCAGAGTTCATGTCCAACAGCAGACATTTATTTAGGGAAGTAAGGCAAATCTGTTGGGTCTCAATTAGTGGAAATGTTGGCGGCCCCAATTTAGGATGGGTGTGTTTTTACATAAAAACCTCGCCTTGTGCAGCTTTAATTGAACTGCAGAAGGCCGCTTGTCAGATAAACGTGTCCGTGCGGCTGACCTTACGTCGACCTCCTCGCCGCTGTGATGCGTGTGCTCAACAATGGTTCAAATCAACAGCAGGAGTCTGATGGACCGGAGGGATGCTGAGTATCAGCTCTGGGGAAGCCTGCAGGCTAACAAGCTGGGCAGGAAGTCTAGCTCAGACACTAGGATGAATCTGAACCTCATGCAGGCAATGATGGACAAAAGAATATTCTAAAAAAATGTAACAATCTCATGGCGGGAGAAAAAAAAAAAATTCAGTTAATCTCTAACTTTTAACTCAAATTACCACAATCGAGGAGCTACTTAACTCACACGACCACGATATGTAAGCTGGAGGGGCGGAAAGAAAATGTGCAGTGACAGGAGTATGTAGAGAGCAGATTATACTACACACTTTTCTAAACTTTCTCTTGTAATTTTCAGAGGCTTTTAAATCCCTTGTGGCTGCAAAATTATTTTCCAATATGTGTCCAGACTGCATGTACAGACACTGATCACAGAGGGTGTTTTACTGATTGAAAAGCTCTCACTCATCTTTTTTTTTTTTTTTTTTACCAAAAACGCTTTGGGTTGACTTCCATGGCCAGTCCACCCACACAATTATTCACTGGTACGCATTTATCCAGAAGGCCCTCCTGGGTCTCCTTCCTGATTATTTGCGCTGTTATATCTCTGAAAAAGTTTGGAGGAAAACACTATTTATGATCTAAAAAATAGTTTCCTGTTATCTACCCACAAGGTCAGAACTGAGTTTCTTTCATGATCTCTGCTCTCTCGCCATGGTTCTCACTGCAAACTGATTTGAAACTGAAAGTACTGCCCTTTCTTCGTCAGTTCAAACTGATATTGGAAGACTTTGTGGCAGACCCAATAAGGAGTTTTTTTTTTTTTTTTTTACTTCTCTGCTATATCTACAGGAAACAATATAGTTCAGTTGTAATTGCCGAGTGGGAAAATTACAATAAAATATACAGAAAAGAAGCAAAAGTGATCTTCATCCTTGAATTGAACCTGTGCTGTGAAACTATTTCGCCTGGCTTGTTAACCAGATGACCTGTCTTGCTATGGCTATACATAACAAGCCCAGAGGGAGTAGTGCTTATATTAAGGTTAACTTTAAAAAAAAGAATATGTAGCCAACATAACATTAATTACACACAGAGAAAGCCATGCTGCGTGTGGGCGAAGGGTTGTCTAATATTAACATGATATTGGTCACAGCCTCCAACTAAAGTATGAAATGTAATTGTCTTTTGTTTGCATTTCAAGTCGTTCCAACAGTGAACGAGTAAATTATGAATTTGATTTATTACAGCAGTTAATAAACTCTTTCTTCACTGATGAGCTGTCAAATTTTATGTTGCAATAAGGACATTGGGTTTAAGGGGTTTAATTGGAGCAGCACATTTCCTACTGGATTTGATGGTGTAATACAGTGATTCCCAACCGGGGGGGTGGTTGCCTAAAAGTTTCCCAGGGTGCTGCGAGGTCTTTTTAATTTTAAGGGCTGTAAAAAAACATTTTAAAAAGACAGTAGGCCTTTATCAAATCAGCATTTATATATTTCTGTGAATAAAATACAATAATATTATAAGATCTAAACTTAGAAGACCTTAACACAAATTATACTCAGAGCCTTTGCTCTCTGAATAACAGCCTCGTCCTGCATTAGAAAACTATTACGCTAACTGAACAATGGCCAAGTGACAGGGAGAAGAAAATTTAATTACAGAGGACTGTATAAAAGTTCCTAAAGATATATAGAAAAACAAGAACACTGATGCAATATTGACAAGAAATAATAAACTAGAACTTCCTCCACATTGCTCCTTTTACACAAACTTCCTGCAGACATTATGCTCATTATTTGGGTTCATTGCATACTGCATCAGTCAGGTGTCGTCACTTTACTCAATGGAAAAGGGTTCCCCAAAAGAATAAGGTTGGGAACCACTGGAGTAAATGTATGTGGGGTAAATGTGGCTGAACTGGAAACTGACAATCCAATCTGGCAAGGTTGATTCCCAGGGTGTTTGCTTGCTGACATGCATAGTTTCCAGTGAGCTCCACCTCAGTGACTGAGCTCCATATTTAATGAATGCATGGTACAAATACCTTATATGATACTGAGCATTTCTGTGCAAGTTCCTCTATGTCCGATGAGACCAAATCCTCCACTGTGAAAGCAAAGGAAAGCATGCTTGTTATTGTTAACTTAGCTTTTTTTTTTAATTAACATGAAGCATCTTCAAAACACACACACACATATATATACACACACAGACCTGTTTTAATATCGACAGCACGCAGGCCACGCACTAAATCTTCATCCAGTCCGGGACACATTCCTCCTCTCAAAACCACCATGGTCTTACATTGTCATCTGCTACTTTAAGTAAAGTTAACTAGCCGCCTGAACAGCTACAGTTGTTTTTAGCTTTCGCGGCTAAGTTACACAGCTAACTTTTCTGCCTGTGTGGTCGTTAAAAAAAAAAGGTACGAGTGACTTTATTGAGGCTCCTTCTGAAGTTCACGACGATAAAAAAAAAAAAACCGTAACACTATTTCATTTACGACAAGCTAACGCGTTTACAAAACTTTTTTCGTTTTGCTAACTAACTCACGCCGAAGCTCTACAAACGAAGCTCACAAATTCTTCTTCCTGCTTGCCGTAGTAAAAATGTACTCGCAGTGTATTTTGGGTAATGTAGTTTTCTCCTCCCTCCAAAGTTGTTGGTTGTTCATTTTCTCGCCCACGTTTCTGTTTAAATTATTGACTCTATGTTTTTATATTGCTCTGTGTATTCTTTTTTTTTAATTCATGGAAACTGAATAGTGAAGTTAAATAGTAAAAATAAAAGTAAATCTACAAGCAATATACAGTAGAGACAGTGTTGTTTAACTTGCAAACAAGAAATTTTGATCCTGGCATAAAGATCATACTTCATAATACACTTCAAATATTGACGAAATGGGTTCAAATATATACAAAGCCAATGGGAAAACACACATTCAACCCAACAACAAATTAAAATAAATACAATAAAAATAACTATAAATATCATGAAGCCAATCACAAATGACTTTTGGCAAATCACAACATTGTTCATGAGTTGTTCAGACCATCTTTTGGTTTCTATATGGAGGTGCAGCTTCTATCAAATTAGGCCAGTCATTCAGTCATTTATTTATTTATTTTAAAGAGATAAAACTGTGACAGGGTTTTAACATTCATGGACTCCTTGGGAAGGATTTTTTCACCTTGTCCCCGGTGCAAAAATCTGTGCTTTCTCAAGTGGTCATGGTACTTGGGACGCTGAGGGTACTTATTTTAAGAGAGACTTCTAACTTGACAATACAGTGATCATACTGATCCTCGCCAGCTCAGGAAGTCATTGGCTTTGGCTCAGCTTGTCACTCGTTCAGTGCTCCCTGGTTCAACTTCTGGCCAATTTCTATCAGTAAGTGTAGACTCCGCTCTTCAGCTGAGCTTCTTGGAGTGGAGGAGCAGCATTGTGAGTAGGTGGGCTGTCCCTTTTGTCCATGTACGTGTTCTGTCAGCAGTCATTCATCAGCTGAAGTGTCCCTGAGCAAAACACTGCACCCTGTGTGCCATCTGTGTTTTTAATTTTTTACATAAAATCTCCTTTATAGTTTTATTTTAACTAATAGTTTTTTTCTAGTCTTCTATTCACAGATAAGTCTGTTGCTTCGTCTCATTAAAAACTTTTAATTCTGTACAATATCTGCTTTAAAAAATGATTTTGATCTGATACTCTGAGAGAAAAGGATACAAGAGAAAAATATGATTCTCTCAGGGATCAATAAAGAATCCTGAAATAACTATTAATATGCTAATATAACTCTACCCGAATGAATTGTATTAGAGTTATGGATAAAGAGCTGATACTGTGTTAATCATTTGACTATGCCTGCATGTACTGTATGAGTAATGAAGTTCTAATTTGTGATGGGGGAGTTTTGAATAAAATCTTGCTGCTTTGTGCTCTCTATTATTGAAGGCTTATTCTGAACAGTTATTTCTGATTCCAGAATATTCCTGTCAGCATATCGCCCAACAGAAGGGAGGATGACGACCCTCCACCTTACACACAACATGATGTAAAAATACTGTGGAATGACTTGCTAATTACTTTGATTATCACTGATTTTGACATCAGGATTTGGGGACAGCGTTGTAGATTGGAAATTGCGGGCCCTTTTGTCGAGAGACTGTTGGGTACCTTTATTCTCCTAAGACACAATTCCCTGCGTTGATTTATTCATCACGAGAGAAAGTTTAAAATCAAGATAAGGAAAGATATTTAATAGCATTTAAAATGGCACAGTGGACGGTATGATGACAAACTGCTAATGCAAGCCTAGATTTTAATAACTCAGTTTGGTCTGGATGGACAAGAAGTGGCTTCAGCTCCAGCCAGGGTGACAAGATTTTAGCTTGATTTCAGATAGAAAATGATGAGATTTCATCAGTAAAATACATTTTCAGGTTAACACTTTGGAGGCCATTGTTAAAGGACCAGAAGGATTCAGGATCTAGCAGTGAAGTTGCAGATTGTAACAATTAGAATACAGCAGAGTGTAGGAGAAACTACAGTACATGTGAAAGGCCCTACTTAGACCAAGTGTTTGGTTTGTCCATTCTGTGCTTCTGTAGAAACATGGCGGCTCAACATGGCGGACTCCGTAGAAGAGGACCCGCTCCGTAGATAACAACAGCTCAAGGTAACAAAAACACAACAATTCTTCTTTTCAGGTGATTATACTTTAATGAAAACATACCTATGAATATTATATTCCATTCTTGCCAATAGATCTTCCTAAATGTTAAACACTGGACCTTTAAGTTTGTCCTAGTTACCACTTGTTACCACATCCAAGCTTGGGGAATGTTTAATCTTTGATGACAAAGGACCCTTTTCAACTGCAGGAAGGTAACACACAGCCCTTGTAGTGTGTTTGCTTTTCGCCCACTTTGCGGACGTGGTCCAACAAGTAAATGTCAGCACTACTCAGGAGGTGATATACATGCACGTTCAAGGTACTTTCAGGGGTTGTACTAAAACGCCCAAGCTCTCAACAGAATTTGGGCAGAAGAGGCCACTTAAAGCGAGCTGGAGTCAGCAGTTACAAATTAAAAGGTGGAGCAGAAGATTTCTCTGTGTCTGTCAAAAAAAACCCCACACAACTAAGCAGCAGAGGGAAAAATAGTACAGTGAGACAAGATAGAAATATAGAAGAGTCTGTGCTGTGGAGCAAAACAAAAAACAGAGTGCTGGTGCTCTAAACATTGTTTTGGGGAACCGATTGACTTGCATCGGTCCTGTGTTGAAGTCTGTTCCCCCCTCGACTTTCCCTCCTGTGAGAGTAGTCTCCACCTCCATGGGTGGGGTTAGGGCTCAGGTTACATGGTTAGGTGTAGCAGAGATAATTGGTTGGGATGAGGGATAAGGTGGGAAAAGGTTAAGGTAAAGAGAGACACATATCGACAGGGAAAGAGATGTCGACACGGCACTGGCCCCAACAGTGCTCTTGATTCTCCGTCTGTGTTTAAACCTTTAAACCGACACACACACAAAAATGTTTCACATTGTTTAATACAGAGGAAACGCAGGTAAGTTCAAGTTGAGGAGAGCTCTAGATTGTACTTTTCTTTCATTAAGACAGCGGGTCTTAACGGGAGAATGCACCATTAACTTCGGTTAACTTTGGATAAACTTATGTATCCCTGAATCCCGATGTCCCTGAAGTTGTGTAAAATCAGTAAATGGAAAAAGACAATATATGAAATTTCATGTTAGGACTGCAGAACATAAACAACCGCATTCACCTAAAAATAACGTTACGCTCTCAAGTGAAGTGGTGCAAAAAGCACACAGATAATGTTTGTTCATGTCAGTGGGGAAAAAGAAAATGTTCAGATGAGTAATCCCTTTCACCCTGTTCTCGACAAGCTAAATATGAACATATGTGCACACCAAAACAAGTCAAATCAGATCTAAAGACCTGCTATTAGCAGAGGGAAAGGTTGTTGTGCTGGCTGTTTTGAGGAGTCCATGTTCCCAGTATGGCTGTGTTGCTGTTAATAGTTTTTAAGGCGAATGTCAGTCAGTGTTACTGATAAGAATTCCTACTCACAGCTTCTCAGACCGAGGCAGCAATGGAAACATAGTCAAAGTCATTCATTTTAGGGCTGCCAGAAAGTAAGAGATGAAAATGTTTAAGTTTGCATTGGCGTTCTGAAAAAGATTGACCTCAACAAGTGTGTTGACAGACCCTCTGGGCTTCAGGTCGATAACATATTGAGAAATGTGAAGAGGCAGCACCACCTCTCCACCTTCAACATCTCTAGTGAGTAGAGATTAATAATGCATACGGCTGTTTGAAAAAAACTTCAAATGGCTACAACATTTGATGTGGAAACACTGCTCGAAAAGAGACGTACAACCCTGTGAATCGTCAACACATCAAGCCTGTAGAGAAAACAATGGCTCAGTCCCATTTTTACCAAATGGAAGCAATGTTGCCAAAGTCAGCCTCACTCACACAGAGCTTGTTTTTCACAAACATACATCACAGCCATTTCAGTCATCACCAGTCAACCCAATTTCACACATATGGGAGAGTCCAGATTGGTGTCTGAGACAGTGTCAGCTACTATCAGCAGAAAACACCCAAACGAGGGAATTTTTGGTACGGGAATGGTGTCAAAACTCTCTAGTAGAACACCAGACACTTATCTATGCCAAGACTCTGTGAAGCTGTGAGGCAACTGCCAAATTACAGTGTTTTATTTTGGCAGTTGCACTCCTACAAATGGAAGGTCTTCCTAGAACCAGATATATAGTTTATCTTGTCCTTATAAGACAAGGCCTGGTTAGACTTTGATCTAGGGTAAACATAGAATCCTCCAGAAATCCTATTTAATAACTCAAAACCAGCTATAATAGCACACTAAGTGGTTATGTCTGTGGGGCAGGTGGCACCGAGTAAAAAACAGGAAGGTGCACTAATCAGTGGTTTGCAGTAACAGGGCTACCTGCTGGAGAAACGCAGGGTGCGATGTTGGCTCAAGCCGGACAAGTGAGGCAGGTGTGTACCTCCCTCCATGGTGGCGTGCACAGAAGACGAGAGTGCAGGAGCAAGTGGCAGGCCTAAGGCTCTTTTCTGTGTGTAGTGTTTCCAATGCTGGCAGGTTGTGAATGTGCCTGTGACATTTAATGTATTTCAGACCTGCTTCCCTGCTGGGTTTAGGGCGGCTGTTAGTTGGTAGGAAAGTAGTAGTTTCAGTTTCAAGGTCAAGTCTGGAACATTTAGGAGGACTTGCTAGAAATTGATTATATTGCCATTGCATTTAATCAAAAATGAACAGTCTCAGTGACATCGCCCATAGGTTTCTGATAAGCCATTGTGAAGCTCTGTTTGGTTGGCTCTGACTGGCGCCATCTTGGCAGTCCTGACTCCGGCAGATCCCGGCGAATCAAAAAATGGGCAAAAAGGTGGAGTGAGGATGGAGCTTAGATGGGCCAAATAAAACCAGCTGTCTGGGACGGCACCCACTAGTCACTCAAAGCAGGAACGTTCTTAATAGTGCATAACTTTAAGCCTTGATAGAATTTAAAGGGTGGCTGAGTTATATAAAAATTC